TTTTACCTGTATACATAGCTCCTCCTTTTTCAAATAATTTAGCTGGTTTATCATATGGTTCACCACAAATACTACATTTTCCTCCTATAATATAGATACAAAATTTCTTTTAATGATTCAAAATTGTGAAATTAACCAACTATGAACATTCCATTGAAGTTGAGTACCACCACAAAACATTTCCATATGATTACTATAAGTACAACATTGTTTAAATGATTGATCAACGAGCCAACCTGAACTACGAGCTACTGGATCTAATAGATAACCATGACCATAAACCGATATAAAGCAAGATGTAAATATATACAGTAAACCTAACATCGTAGTCATATTTAATAAATACAATCGATTCTAGATGCCTCTCGTCTATTTATAGTAATGGTTCTTTTAAAAAAAATAAGGCTTATCATATACATGTTTTCATATCAGGCCTAGAGTGGATGCACTGCGTGAGAATAAAGCAGATGGTTAGATAAAAACAACAACAACAACAACAACAACAATAATCACTATGTTGAATACTATGGCGGCGTCGAAAATTCAAAATTTCATTGATGTACATTTTTATTTCATGAATATTTAGAAATGTTTTATAACTAAATCAAAGTTTTCTTTATTGAAAGTTAAATTAGTAGTTGGTCCTTGAAACCAATATTTTGCTGATAAAAAATAAGCAAATCCAGCGCATATAATTACAATTCCAACACCAACTGATGCATAATTCATTGTAACAGCAGTAATTGGATAAATTGGTGGAAGAACAGAAAGAACAATAATAAGACAAACCCAAAGAAGTGCAATTATATTAATAAATTTTGAAAATATTCCAAGATGAAATGGACCACGAAGAAATGCATTCGGATAAAGAAGTTTACATACAATAGGCAGTATATATGATATATATAAACAAACAGTAGATAGACTTGTAATAACCACAAAAGTAGTTGTATTACCTAAATAAGGAAGTGCAAGAAGAAATGCAATAAAACATGATAACCAAACAGCATTAAGTGGACATGATAAGCGAGGATGAATTATATGCCACCAACAAGAACCGGGCTGTAAGAAAAGAAAAAAAGAAAAGAATAATTTTATTTTTTCCACAATATATTTTTATCAAATGAAATCGTTTATACGACTATTTAATTACCATAGCATTATCACGACTAAATGCATAAATCATTCTTGAATTTGTTGTTACTGAAGCTAAACCAGAAAACCAACATGCTATTAAAAGTAGACACATAAAAAATAATGTTAATTCATTATTAAAATTATCAAGTAAAATTTGTATTATTGGAAAGCCAGTTGATGTTCTTATTGTAGTTTCATAGTCGTGTATACCAAAAAAGAATGCAATTAGAAAGATCCATCCAATAATAATAGAAACTAATATGGCATTAATCATACCCCATGGACTAGCTTTATCAGCTTGTTTAGTTTCTTCTGTTATATGAGCTGATGCATTATAACCAGTAAGAACATAATGAGCTGGTAAAAGACCCATTAAAATAACATAAATCTTTAAAGAAAAAGAAAAAAAAAATAACAAGAAAAAAGAAAATTAATTTACTTTATTTGTCCATCCAGTTTCATTTTTAAATTCTGTAAAAACAAATTTAATTGATTGATGACCTGATCTAGCACCAATAAGAAGTGCTAACGAAACAATAATTGGTGCTAATAATTGCCACCATGTTGATATATATATTAACCAAGAAAGAAAACGTATTCCTAATGAATTACATATTCCATGACTTATTATAATTATTAAATATATAAGAATAATATGATATCGTTCAGGTGACCATTGAAAATTTAAACTTAATGAAATAACACTTGCTATCAACATAGCAAGACTAAAATCAATAGCAGTTGTTATAGTAAATTGTCCAATTAAATTAAACCATCCAGTAAACCAACTTACTAATGCTTTATGTCGTTGTGGTACAAGTATACCTGTCCAATAGTAAAGACCACCTGATGTTGGGTAAGCTGAACATATTTCTGCCATACCAAAAACAATAAAAAGAGTAAAAAAACAAACAATAAGCCATCCCCATATCATAACAACTGGACCACCTGTTATCATACCATATGAAAATAATGATGAAAGACCAGATGTAACACTAATAACTGATAATGACATTCCATAATTAGTTAAACGAGTAAATGCTCGTGTTAATTCTTGTTTATACCCAAGTGATTGAAGACGAAGAACATCAAAATCAAGTGTATTCAAAATCATTTTTAACAATGTACTATCATTTGTTAACATATATTTACATGCGCATTCGAGTAGAACGATGAAAATGACATTTTTATTGACCTTTGATCATTCGAAAGAACGAAAAGAATTTTTTATATGTTCAAATGATAACCTTTTTCTTGTTATCTTTTCTTTTATTCAAAATATCATTCATCATTTTAAAATTTCTTCAATTAAATGTTCATGAAACGAACTATTAAATCGATCAAGATTGAATGTGCATGATATGACAAACTTTTGAATGGTAATATTGTTTATGATTACTGACATTAACCACAAAAATGGACGAGATCATTTCATCGATATCTACAGACGCTTAATCAAAGGATATTTCTTTTCATTTAAACTTCATTTATATACTGATCTATAGATCTTAATTAGTGGAAGAATAAGCAAACAATAGCAAAACATAACCTAGTGACAATTGTTCTTGCAATATCTTTCATTCCCATCGGGAAAGCTACTAGTAAATTGTTGTTCAAGTGTATTCTGAGTTGACTATCTACATTTTCTGCTTCTTTTTCAGCCGCAGATAAGATGTTAGTATCTTCCGCAAATTGTTCTTGATAGAATGACTTAGTAGCATCACACATTTCCGTTGGTTGTTGAGATTATACTACCATTTATCAGCAGAAACCCTTGGACTGATTATCTTCTCAGCATCTAGATGAAAGATTCGCTTTCTGGTAGGAATAGCGATTTCGAGTGAACACGGTTAGTTCATAAAAAATTTCCACTGAAAATCCAAATTCTTGCTCAAAATTGAAATTCCACCAAATCGTTCAGCGCCGATTCAATACTTAGTATTACTCGAACTTTTACTAAAGTAAGATACCCTTGGACTATAACTCTCTAAAGAAATTTAGATGTCTATTACATGTGATTTCTAAGATATAGGATATAAATTTGCCAGAAATCATCATTTTTTCTCTTAAAGCTCTTTAGTCGTCATTATTTTACTGTGTAATTGCTTGCAAAATTTTGGCGTAAACATTTCTATTTTCTTTAATCTTACTTCACTCGGACTTAGATCTACTAACAGAAGATTATGATCATTGTACTCTCCATAAAAAATTGAGCAAGCATTGAAAATATATATTTTGTCATAACCTAAGTCATAGAACTTTCATGTAGAACTATGCATTCAGCTGCACACTGTTAATGGTGATCTCTTCTGCAACTCGTTTTCATACGTCATAGGTTGATATTACTATGATGCTATACATCCTGGATGTGTCTTTTTTGCATTTTCCTAACTGAATTCTCAATCTACGTATTGCTTGGAGGAAAACATTGTCTGAAAATCATGATGTTCATCACAAAAGCGATATTTGAGAACATTCCAGTGAATGATAGGAATTTTGGCGAAGATATCTCTCTCTAAACGCTAATTTAAGTGAAAATTTCAGAATTCTATCTTATTCCAATCATGAGGTATGAGGGACAAAAGTTGTCTAAAATGTAAATTTTGTCATATTCGATGAGTCATAAAAAATGAAGAGTTTATAGTTGTGAGTTGAAAATTCTATTCTGAGTACAACTCATTGAGTTATATGTCTGCAATAAAATTTCAACTTAACCGATCGAGCCATTTGTGAGATATTGAATCCACAAGTCACCTATTTTTGGATATGTATTTTTGCAGGTTCCTCAAAAAAAAAATTATAAAATATTGACGATTCTATATTTTTCAAAATGGGTTCCGCCAAAATTCCTAAAACTCTTCTCTCTGCGATATATTCTGAATTGAATAATGTCTCACAATCTCGGCTAAGCAGGTTCGCCTGTGGGTTATGTAAAATGACTGTTGTAGGAAGTATTGATTGTACTGGATACATGTTAAAGTAATCACTAATCTCTCCATATGGATGACTTTTAAAAATTTGGACTAGCCTATCGCGGATGCATTTTTCAATGCTAAAAAATAAATTCTGATTTAAGTCCTATTTGAAAGAAAGTTTAAAGTTGTGTTGTGCGTATAAAATCTGGATAAATAATGAAAAATACGATGATTAACGCGGTAGTAGAATATCTTGTGCGGCTTAGATAAAGATTTCGTGGTACTTTGATTTCAATCATTTAATACTCATTGGATAGCTCGTTCTTTACTCTATCAAAATCCGTAAAGAAATCTCTGGATCCATTAAAATGGGCAGAAAAATACAGCTTGCATTGAGAAAGAGAACAAGACAAAAATGTAGAAAAAAGCAGTAGGGTTGATCTAGTTTTGAGGGTGTTGTACCTACAAAATGGAGGGTGAGAACAAGGTGACATATACAGTTTTGCAGAGCAGAATTTGCTCTATTAAATAGTATATTACTCGAAAAGATTGTGATAATTTACTGTGGAGATAATAACCAAATACTGACTTACCAAATTTTGCAAGAAAAACAAAAATACTTTTCAAAACCTGTTGAGGGTGCCTTCAGTGTGTATTTCATAATTTTTTAGAGGTAAGCTTGAATGAGCTAAAATTTTGGATTTATAGGTTTTTCACTTTGTTCTTTCATTTCCAATCATAAAATATAGGGGTCAAAATTTTCAAGAGTATGACCCTATTGTAAAATGTTCGATTTTCTCGTGGACTGTCTCTTAAGAATTCAATGTAAATATGATATAAACTTTTTTTTCGCCATTGTCAGTTGTAACTAAATCAAATGTATAATTCATGTGATTTTCTTTTTTCTGGTCACAGGAACGATGCTCGTCTATGACATCGAAGCGTGAGGACGAATCACACACTTCTCGATGAAATAAAAGCATAATAATAATAATAACCTACTCACAATGGTATAGGAAATATCTGAATCACAAAAGCTAAAAATCGCTCGGTTTGTTTTTAGCGACAATAAGTTCAATGGAACTGGAATTCTTTTTACCAATATTAGACACTGTTTTGGGTACCTAGTTTCTTTTTATTTCCTTCCATTCGAATAAAAAAGATTAAAATACTGAGTGTACTTCCAAAAAAACATATTTTCTTTTTTGTAAAATCTGCCAAAAAATCAACGGTACAATATTCCTCAAAACAAAAGCAGGTAGACACTCAAATAGTGTTCAATATCTGTAAAAACAAATTTCGAGAATTCTAAAAATTAATAAATTATAAAAAAAAATGATTTCATTGAATTTTGTAATCTTAATTTCTAGTTTAGTTCTTCAATAAATCGAAAAGGAATTAAAAATTCTAGATTGATAAATCGAAGCATATTTATATTTTTGTTTCAACGAAAAATAAAGTACATCATCTTTCATAAATAATATAATTTCTTATTTGACACTTCGTTTTTTGCTCCATTTAAATTTCTCTGATCGTACATCCCAGATTTCTTGAAGAAGCTTCATTGTCGGCAATTACTTTTGTTTTTGTTTGAAGGAACATGTGAAGCTGCAGTCCTGGTTTTTTTGAATTAGGCTTTTTTATTATTATATAGAAAATAAAAACATTTTTATATATAGGTGATCATTAGCAGAGAGTTTTTCGAAGTATTGAACTGTTTATCCTTTTTCTCCGTGTATAAAAGGTAAGTATTTAAAAACAAAAAGACTTACAAAAAAAATTAAATCTATACAATGAGGATCCATGAGAGAATTTCAGTTTGCCGAATGAGTTACTTTTGACCTTTGTATCTCTCAAAAATGTAATGGAATAGGACTGACGATCAAGTTTCAAGGATGGGAGAGGCTTAATTATTTTTCGTCAACTAGAAAAAAAAAACGATTCTAATATAACTCGTTCTCATTATAAATTCAATACAGAAATATTAACGAAAGAGATTTATTGGCACTTCTCTTCTTTATGATAATCACATCGATTGGATAACTTTCATGTAAATGATATAGAAAGGTCACATAATAAATTACAAAGTTTTACAATTCGATATATATTTTTTCTAAGGATAAAATAGTAGTAAAAATTGTTCACGCAATCCGTACGCGATTAAAATGCAAAACATCTTGGAACTATTAATATTGTAAAAGACGGAATTCAGCAACATAGGTTTTAGTTTATGAATTAGTGTCTACTGTTAATGCATATCGATGATAATCGTAATATAATATAATCAGTATGATCGAAAGGCAATGACAAACTATCTTAAACTCAACTGGGATTGATACTAATCCCGTTATAGACTTGGATCACTATGCTTCAACATTCCTTTTCGATTATGTTTAACAAAATCCTAATGGTATTTGCCCTAAGAAACAAAGGTCAAAAATTTGCATTATACATATGGAAAAAGAGAAAGGCAAATAATATATACATCTGTGAATAAGATGTTGTGGGGGCCAAAGGAAGCAATGCCGATATTTACTAACACAACTAATTTTTTTTCTTTTCCAATAAAATAAAAATAACTGTTTGAATGAAACTACGGAATATATTATTTCAGAATAATATTCTAATGTATTCTTTTAATTAATATAGACATTACAATTTTTAATAGTATATATCATAGAAAATGAGTTATTTTCTATTGGTTAAAGTGAGCACTACAAAAAAAAATTTAATGAGACCTCGAACACTTAAGATATTTCTTTCTTCTTGTAATGTTATTATTACATGAATGGAGAAAAAAAAAATTTTCTCAGTATTGAAGAACAATTTTTCAAATTTAATTATTGATATCAGTAAATATATAATACAAATAATTCTCTAAGAAAAAGAAAATGTACATAGATCTTATTTGTAAACGAAAACTTTCTTCAATTATGATCGATCATATTATGATGTATGTTTATGAAATACGTTATTGTGCATTCTAGATCAGAGAACAATAGAATTAATAATACTTTTTCTTATTCTTCCGTTATATGAAAAAAGAAACAGAAAAAAAAATATTTCTTTCATCTACTCGATGAGAAATTGTTATTTTACCATTTTTAACAAAGGCTAGAAGTGTTTATAATGTTTATAGTAATAATAATATTTCTTCTTTTAGGTAAGAAAATATTTTTTATAGTTATTAAATTCAAGTCATTTTCTACTTAGGATCGATTGAACGTGCATCATCAATTCAATGTTTTACATGTATTGAATCAGGTTTCTATTGTTCTTTACCATTCGATCTTGATGCTGGTGATGAAAGTAATGAAAATAATGTTGCTATTTTTGGTTATGATGCTGATTATGCTTGTCTAGTATGAATATAAAATAGATTAAAAGACATACATTTATTTTCATTTATTTAGAGTGATCATTCTTTAGATGTAAGAACAGGTCAAGAAAAATTAATTTTACGTGGATCTAAAGATTGTAATGAATTAAATATACCAAATCATCGTATTCATTGTTGTTATACAGATAATTGTAATAAACAATTACCAATAATGATAATTCATTCATTAGCAGATATTGTGGCAATGGAACCAAGATCTAAATCAAATAATCAATGTTATATATCATCAATAATACTCATTATTTTAAATATCGTTTTTTTAATATTTTTCATTACAATAAATACCAATTAAATTATGATTAAGTTTTTTTGTGTATTTACGAAATATTTGTATATATATATTTTTTTTGATTTATAAATTATTTAATTAATATAATTATATTGTTGTCTTATAGTGAAAAAATATTGTTCAATATTCTCAACAACTTTTGTGCCTTGAAGTTTAATATTTATCTTTCTGTGAAAGGAATGATTTCTATGTAACAGAAGCACATTGTAGTATTTCGTCCAATATGTACATATATATATATAAATATATGGTATTGATCGTTAATCAGATGCATATCTTAAAAAAGATAGTATTTTCATTGCATTTGTACTTACTGACTCTGACATTTTGATGATATAAGAACCGTACAAAACAAGATTCTTTGTTCATTATGATTAAATTAAAATTTCAAGAATTCTAAGATATTATTCGACTTTTGAAGTCTTTTCATAAAGAAAATGGAGCTTGTTTTTCACATCTGAAATTCGATGTTTTAATAATGGTCCTAGATTTGATATCTTTTTTTTTTTGAATTACAATGTCTGTTAAAACTTTTTTTTGTAATTCATGATTTTCTTTCTTGACAAAAATACTAAGATTACTACTGGCTTAATATATTTTGTAATGGAAAATATCTTTGAATATAATTCAGTTTTTCTTTAAAAAAAAAGTTTATAAATACTTTCTGTTTTTATTTTCAATCGATTGACGTTTATTCAATTCATTTTCTCCTAACAAAATTTAAAACAAATCAACTACTTATTTTTCACCTACGCTATCCTGCTGTTTTTCTAATGACTTTTTTTCTTTCTTATAAATAAAATAAAGTTTTTTTTTACTTTAGACATTATATTATCATCGATTTTTATCAAACATCAATGGCAGCATCACCAACTGTAAGTTTGTTGTTATGTTTTTTTTTTTATTTTGTTCAAATTGATTATTTTCTTTTTTTTCTTTTTTAATTTTAATATCTTCAGGTAAATGCTGCACTTATTCACTCATTACAACGTGCACGTGACCATCAAAGCTATGTTAATGTAGTTTCACCATCATATCCACAAAATAATGTTCCTTATAACTCATCACCAATTGAAACAATCACAACAGGTCCTATTATAAAGAATACAGATCAATCAAATTCAAAACCTCCATGGAATTCTTCATCTGTAGCTCAACCAACAAAAACTTCACGTTCTGTTTTTCTTGATAATAATGTTCCACGTCAAATATATCCTACTGCAACTACAATTCGTCCTGTAAATAATACAGAAGTTACAGCGCCTGTTAAAGTTGTACGTTTGCCAACAACTATAATGGGAGAACCATCACATACATCACCTGTTTATATTCAATATCCACAACAAACATATCCAACAAATACAAAATTAATTCGTACAGAACCTCAAGGTAAATTATAAAGCATATAGTTTGTTTTTGTTTGTGTGTGTTATTTTCTACATAGTTTATTTCATTTAAACAAAGAAACAAAAAAATTGTTCGTTTTTTTTTAGTGATTGTACTCGATTCACAATCAAACGAACAATCATTATTAAATTATCCTCAACGAAATAATAAATATTCAACGAGATATTATCCAGATACAGATATTTTATATAATCAACCGGTAAGAGTTTATTTCTATGAATAATGATTATTAGTTTTCTTGTTTACTTAATTGAATCAAGAGTGTATCTGTGAAAATGAAATAATCCAGAGAAAAAAAAAATAATATTCGATTATTTCCTTTTCCTTGCATATTGACATCATTGAGACTCATCTATACGTTTCTTTCGTCTATAATAATTAGTAAGCCTCCTCTCCACGCAAATAATAGTAGCCCACTGAGCTTCTAATTTATTTTGCAAGAGGTGAGCTTTCATTGAGATCAACATTTTTGCATTACAGCTATGATTTGATTCACATACAAGCACAAAAATGTACAAGATTTCGATAAATTGAAATTTTCAAACTTTTGGAGAATTTTAATAGTATCTTAATTTAGATACGCTAAACCGCACTTAATTAAGATACGTTGATTTGAGGAACTATAGAGCTTTGAAAGAATTCAGCTTCTCATTTTTATGAAATAGATTGGTCAGATTTTATGAATGTTTCAATAATGGATATCATACTCATATTATACTAGCACTTGTTTTTGAGTTCGATGAGCTCTTGCGTCATTTCAATCGATCGTCGTTCATCTTTGTGTAATATCTTATTTTTCAGTTGAATATTTGTTCATATTTCATAAAAACTTACATGGTCTCATTTCTAGACTGTGGAGATTAAAACCGATTGGTTTCCGTCTATGTCTAGTTAATAGATAAATAAATGAAATGAGGAAGAAAATGAATGAGAAATTTTTATTTTGATTTAAGAAATCTTCTGTTTATCGATATTGTCAATGTTGTGCTCGTGGTCGTCTTGCTTCACGTTGTCCATCATGTTATTTTTGTGAATTATTCTATGGTTGTCCACTTTATTGTTGGATATTAACTTTGCTTCTTCTTCTTTTACCTATGCTTGCCATTTTCGGATGGCTTATTTCAGAACAACCAGGTAAAATTAATTAAAAATTTTTTAGTTTTTTATTTAAAAAAAAAATTTCTTTTCTTTATTTAATTCAGCAATTAATCCAGCTAAACGACAATATATAACAGAACAATCTTCAATTGTTCAAAATGATGTTTATGCTGTAATGCATAATTGTGCAGTACCATATTGTACCAATGCATCTCCATCAACAACAATTAATCAATTATATCTTACATATCATGATTATTCAGCAACACAAATAACATCAAATGGAAATATATTTCAAACATTTTCATTAATTTTCTTTGGACTCTTATATATTTTAATCAAACTATGTGAAATATAAAACTAATAATAACATTGATATTAATGAAAATTTAATAGATAAATTTCATTGAAGTATTATAATAATATTTCATCATTTGACTTTCCTTAAAAAAACCTGCTAAAATCTTATCTAATAGCAATAAATGAATAAAGATCATATTCAAATTTGTCGGCTCTCAGACAGTGCACTGGAATGAGAAAAAGAAAAAAATCAAAACTGGTAACACTTAACTGAAAATTTCATTCGAGACGATCGAAATGCATTGATAGACATAGACACAGATTGACACACAAAAGTCAGAGAAGTTCATTTCTTCTTGACTACAAACAACGAAAATCCTTCGAGATTCTATATTTCCAAACGATCTGATCATTGTCAAGTCACTGAGCACTTCTCCTGTTCGAAGAAGACTTCTTTTTTTTTAGAAGTTCTCAATAAAGTTTCAGACGTTGAGATAATATCATCTGATATACTTGTTGAACTGATTGCTCCAATCTGATTGAGAGAATAGTAGAGATAATCCCTCACTAACTCACATGGTCCAAAGAAAAGACGAGTAGGTTACAGTCTATCATATGAATCACGTAGCCAAAATACAACTCTTTTAAGTCGAATTTGTTTTATTTTCAATAAAAATAGCATTGGATGATACTTTACAGCAGAAAAATAAACATTTTGATTTTAGTTTTTAAGCATGAGAGAATATTTAAAATTGATTTTTATTATTATATTTTCGATTGAAAAGTAATCACAATGGAATATTTTCAGTAATTCATCGATAGAAAAGAATTACAACTAAGAATTAAAAAGAAAAAAAAGTTATACTTAGAATACTAAGAGGCTCATCTATTCTGAAGCATCTGTTATTGAGTAACTTAAACTCAATTCTCAAGATCTCAGGCAAAAATTTGACAAGATCATGTAGACTGAACATAGGTTTTGCTTAGAATAGGTTTAGAAATAACATCAGGGTGTGGGTACCCAGAAGATACACACCCACATCCAAACTCAATATTTTATATAATATCATCACCAAATTCTACACTTTATATTTTAACAGAAAATTTTATTCATCAATACGTTGTTCAGATATATCATGGGTTATCAATAAAATTCAACAATCAGATACATTTCACAAGATTAATTTTACACAACCATTTGGTTTAACACTTGATTATGATCTTAACATGTTAATATTAACTTATAGAACTAAAAGATCAATACAACAGAGGAAAGTAACAATAAATATAAATGGTAAAAAAAAATTATTTACAAAAACTAATGCACAACCAATTAGTTATCATGAAAAAGTTTATTATGTTGATATTAATCCTTCAATTTCAACTTCATCATATTATCATTATAGCTTTCATACAACTTCATCATGTATTATTGATATGCCATTTTCAGAATGTGATTCTTAATATGCTGTATGACTTCATAATAATCAATAATGTATCTTATTATTCAACAAAGTCAAATGATGATACAATGATTTATATTAGTGAAGATACAGCAATAATTTATTAATTATCTACTAGAACATTTATTTGGTCCGTTCTTGTTTCAAATAACAATAGCATAGAAATACCTTCCTGTGGTAATCGTCTTTGGGTATTTATGTTAGGATTTGATATTCATGTATATGATCGAATATATAGAGATGAACTTGCATCATGAAATATGTCCATGTTCTATCCAACTCTTTATGATATGGTATTAACATCTGGTTATGAATTCTATTTAGTGAATTATTCATTATGTTGCATCATTAAAGAACTAATAGACAATCAACGGATGAAAATATTTCAAATAATAAAAAGATTATTTTATGTACTAACGAAAAAAGGATCCTATTCTGTCTTTAAAATAATTATTAGTTGAAAATTATAATAATTCTTCTTGTATATGTCACACACTATTAAGAATTTTATTCTAAAAATAAAATAAAAAAAAGCTTGTTAATACAATTTCTTTGGATATAAAATCTAGAACTCATATATCCTTCCTAAGCTTCATTATACTAATACAAAAATCTCTAACAGACGATAGTTGCTCTCCAATGGTAATCGATTGTCGGCGAACGCTCTCTCTTATTTATTTCTACATTTTAAATGCAGGTTTTTTTAAAACTGGCGCTTGTTTTCTTGTTCTTTTGGAACTTACATATATTTTTGAAGAAAAAAAATCAATAATAATGTTAAACGAAGAAAAACGGAAAAACGAGCGAATGGCAACAAAGCAAACAAAAAATACAGCCCAAGTAAAACAAAATTTCTATTCGAAATTTAGAAATAAATAAGAGAGACTATTCCTCTGTCGATTGATTATTTTCGGAAAACAATTATAGCTTGCTATAGGCTATTCCTTTGATGTATTTTGTATTAAGATATTGAGACTAAAGAACATATGTGAACTCATAATTGACAATCATAATTTTTTTCATATCATTATTAAGTTTTTCTTTTTTTTTTCGACAACAACAATTTATTAGACAAAAACAAAAACATTCTATTTGATATTTATCGAAAAACAAACAAACAAATATACGAGATTAAATATTGATTAATATAATGATAAAAGTATCTTGTTTTAAAATTAGAATTTAGATAGTATCAACAGATAAATTTTGTTCTTTGACTTTTTTAAGTTGTTCTTCGAGTAAATCACGAATTTTTGGTAACATATTTGGATCTTCTAAAGCTGCTTCATAAAATTTAATTAAAACTTGTTCACCACGATGAACTTCAGTGACAATTACTGATTTATCTCGACCATCAGTAAACCATGCTTTAACATCAATCCATGTTCGATGAGCAGCTGCAATAGCTGAACCTGATTTTATTCTGAAATATTAAATATATATATATACAGAAAAATTTCAGAAAGATAAATTACATACGGTTCAACACCTAAATCAACTTTAATAACATTTGATAATTGACCAATAAATTCAGCACGACTTGTAGCAATTGTTCGAAAGAGTAATTTCATTGCTGTATCTTTACAATCATCAGCACATTGTTTATAACCATTATATGAATCGTACAATGTTTCTAATATGATTTGACATTTTTCTGCTATGTTTCGATGAAGACTAGCTGCGTCATCGGAAGCTAATTGTGAAGCAAGTGTACCTGTAGCTGTATTTGACGACATATTTTATAACTAATAATATGTAATAGTAAACAACAATATGAAATATATTTGTTGTAAATGAACTGAATTTGAACGCATCATGACGAATCAAGAAATTGACTAGTGATGGAATTTGAAAGATGTCGCACAAAGAGAACTAGAATACTTGCACATATAATACTGTATACGCTTCATTTGCTTGAAAGTCATCTTAGAAAAATTACACCATCTCTGGTGGTCTAAGGATATTGTTTGAGTCTTGCATAAAGCTATGATATATATATATATATAAATTTGAATCTTGATAAAATAATTATTCTACAACAAAATGATATGCTTAATTTTCAATATAGTGAATGAAAGTCGAAAGTTTTTTTATAAAAATTTTTTCCAATAATTTGAGTTTAAATATATGATTAACTAAGAAACTATTCATGAAAAATATTATTCAATAACTCATTTATTAATTCATTATTTTCTAAATGTCATATATCACATAGTTATGAGTGTTATACGCAACTGCAAAGGGCAAAATAACAAGGAAGCAAAATAGTTTTTTAACCCTTACTCTCACCTCATTACCTTAGCCTTTGTGTTCGTGCTGTGACTTGAGACTACTATTGAAATGTTTCATATTATATTGATACTGACTCATTAAACTGATAGTAACATTTATGTGATAGTTTGGTTCTTATTTCTTGCCAAGCGATTCATTTTTATCAAGTAAAATACATGGTTAGTAGATAACTCCTTGGCATATCTGACCTACTAATCAGTTTTATATTTTAATATTTCGATATTTTATTTATATCCATTATGTATGTAGGGTACTTTGTTGCGAAAAACTTGATTTTTCAGTTTATTTACTAAATAATCACTATTGTTTTAATTATGTTCAAATATTCTTTAATGATTCTTGTTCATAAAAATTATTTTATAAAAACTATATATATTTTATTTAATACTTGAAATAGTCTTCCAAAGATATTCAAAACATGAATATCATATTTTTTTTCTAAAATATAAGCGAAGTTATCATATATTCAAGAATATAAAAGATCGGACATATGAAGAATTTCTATAGTATTTTTTCATTCATTATCAACTATGACATTTGTAGTGAACACTTAACTTGAAATATTGTTAATAATATAGGAGACGTGTCCACATTTCGTGAGTGTTGAACTCTCAAATGTGCAACTTCACTCACGAAACTCAAACAATTTCAACAACCCTAAGAACTCAAGAATTTGTTGAAACTTAGATAACAGATTAACTATATCATTCCAAACAAAATTGATATCATCACGCTTTGTTTACTTCAAAATTTGAAATAATTGCAGTGGTGTCTTACATCCAAAAATTCGAAATACCAGAAACGCCATTGGATATAACAAATATATGATACAATTTATTCCGAGGATATTCACATATATGCATGGCTGCGCATGTAGAATACAACAGTCAATTTTTGAATAAAAATATTCATCATCATAAATTATTCAGAAAAACTTCTTAGTATAATAGTAGAAATTTGCGATTACATTAACAAAATCATGATTCATCTAAAAAATCGTCGATTTATCACATTTCACAACTTATGATTAATTGCCAATTTTTTTTTGCAGGTAAAAATACATAGGACGTATTTCGAAAAATTTCATTTAAAATAATATTTTTTATCAATACAAAAGATTTTTATTATAGATAGAATTCAATTTCAACTTTATATTTATACACCATCAAAAAAAAAACACATATTTCGTTTTTTTTTCTATTCAAAATAATTTATTAAATATATAAGTATAAAAAAAAATTTTTTTTATGAAGCTGTTACATTAGTACATCGTAAACATGGTTTACAACATTTTTGTCCAATTGAACAATCACCATCATATTTACAATCGACTGGCAAACATGAAACCACTGATGGATGAAGACTTGGTGGACAAGAGCCAGATCTTTTAAGAGGACAACAATGAAGATTGCCTTGTGTACTTACAGTACAGATTCCTTTTCTTCTTGAACAAGTATAACGATAACGTCCTTTTTTGCAACTATATTTACGTAAAGGTTGTCCCAATTTACATGGATTACATTCACATGTATTACAATTAAATTTATCGAAGATATAACCATAAGGACATGGACTAACACATTTGGGTAAGTAAGGACACTTTTTTTGACTTACACTGTTATCTTTCGAATTCTTTGATAAACTTGTTGATTGTACATAAAAAATTATTATGACAAAGAGTAAAATTAAGATGAATTGTTTTTTCATAATTCTGAAATTGTAGTAAAATTTTATTTGATTTATAATAGACAAGAAAATGATCTTTACTTGAATAAATCGAATGTTTATATTGCTTGCTTTTGTTTGATTATTGTTAGTTTGTTTAATGTATTTATACCTGATTTATATATTATCGTAATTACGTCATTTCTAGATAAATATAAACGAAAAAAAGAAGTATTAATAGCATGGTTTGATCATGATTTTTACTCAAAAAGTACATGTCCTCATAGTATAAAATTGAAATAATATCACATATTGGTATCAGTTCGGTATCCTTTTTTTTTTTGAAAGTTCTAATTATGTTTTCAATGAATTATGTCATAAATAAACAAGAAAGTTAAACATAATCAAAAATATTATATGTTGACATGCATCTCAAAAGTAAATTATTGAATATAACAATATACGTAATTTCTGCAATTACAAATCATATTAACAAATTCAATTTAATCTTTTATAATCAACTCATTATTTAGATCTGATCAAAAGTTTTGATAACGTGGCTGGCAATCTTATAATAAGTTAACATTTAAGAGTCTGTTGCATAAATCAATAATAGAATATTTTGTCTATAATAACTTTATTTTAAGTTTAGCTCTAATATTTGCTTTCCGAGCTGACAGATGTAAATATCGAAATGTTACGACAGATTATCAATAATAATAATATTATAGTTGAGACTTATCTCTCTCTCTCATGATACAATAGAATGAGCTATTCATGATTGTCTAAAAATGAGAAAAGTTACATAATGTTGAATGCCTCATCAACTCAATGATAAACAAAAGCAAGGATGAGTTAGAATTTATTGTCAAAATTTCGTAATGGATCATTGCAATTGTGTAATATTATTATAGATGATGGGATATGAATTTATCATAGACAGGTTGGATGCACACGGCAACTAACACAAGTTAGATAGGTGAAGGTGAATCATCAACGATTATTTGTCATCAAAGTAGATTTAAACTAAAAGCTTTGTTTTGTATATCTTCTTTAAATAAACCAATCCTGTTCTTATACATAATATAGATATACGCAAAACTATAGATCATATCTATTATATTGAATATTGTCTCAAACATGTTGTTAATGCAACGTGGAAACAAAGAAAGTCATCAAGTGCAAAAAGTAGAAAATTTCTTCGACCTCATACTTATCTAGCTGTTATTATTTAACACAAGAAGATATCGATATAATGTCACATCTACTGCTTTCAACAGACCTTGCACTATGTAATTTTTAGCTAAATGATTATGTCAAGTGTAACTTAATTGATCAAATAAATAAACAATCATTGATTCATGCGATTTCCAAGATAGTTAAAAATACTCGAGAAGAGTTTTAAAAAAAATATATGAACGTTGTAGAAATAATTATAGCGATTATTTTGAATATTTAATAAAATAAAATTAAAATTATCTCGTTATTGTTTATACTTTTATTTGATAGCATCAGAACTTTGGATCAACTCTAAGTAGATATCAAAATTATTATAATTTCAATTTTTGTATTATACAATTTACTAGATTTAATAAAGACAAACTGTTTATACTGCATATATATATATATATATATATATAAAGTTTTTTTAAATAGTTATTAGAAAAGTAAATAAAGTTTTTGGTTGTACTAATTCATTGCATTCAACGTATATTTTAACGTTATTATTAATGTAAAAATATAATCATTAGGAATACTAAAATTGATATGATAATCAATGAATATATTAGGTCAATCAAAATATAACATATCTTTGTTTTACTATTACATGTCAAAGAAGCATCATATAGATTTTCTTTATAAAATTAGAATAAAATAAGATAGATAGATAGATGTGAAACAGAAAAGAATTATAATTATACTTTGATTAACATTATTTAATGTACTTATTTATCAAAAATAATTATTCTCATAAGATTAATCGATTTAAAACCAACGTACAGAATTCTATACGTTTATTTTAGAGATTTGCAATTTTTGTATAATTTTTGTTTGTATTTATATAGAAAGTGAAAAAATGAAAAGACTTACGGTTAGGATGAATGTGAAGTCCTATTGACAACATTTAACCTATGAATATTTTCGCCCTATATTATAATTATTATATGTTTATATGATTATGATAGATATTAACTACAGAAGATAAGATAGAATGGACGATTCTTGATAATTCATATCTTTATCTCTCTATGTATGTTCCAATAATGAGTGTTTCTCTTCAATGAATTTCTTGACTTATATACTAGCTCATTCTCATACATTGTGTAAATAGTGGAAAAACAATTTTGAAGTAAAAAGTAGTATTCCTCAGGTGAGTTTTGAATTTTTTCGGAAGAGGATCTCAAACTTCAAAAGAGATGCTCGATCGTAAAATATCTGTATTTCAGAAACTATGAAGAGCTAATACTTTAATTTGATACTGTAGACAGAGGATAGTCAGAGCTACATTTTAGTAAAAAAGTAAATATCTTTATGATTTTTGGATTATTAGTTAGTAGCATTTTATGATGAGGGAAATGAAACATTTATATCTTATGAACAATCCAAGAGAAGAATCTTAAAATTGTCGGTCGATAAGCATTTACTATTAAGAGTATTCACAAAAATTTAGAAATCCCTAACTATCATAATCTAACAACGATACTCAAAGATTAAAGCCGTCGATCGACCGTTATCAACACTAGACTTGTGCAATTCAGTTCATTTTTTTAATGGTTGTAATTCTTGTGAAAACTTCAAGAATAAAATAAAGGATAGTCGAATAGTTTCAAGCTTCTCTCAGTAAATCGATAATATCTAAGAGAAACTTAAATATGGTTAATTGTTTGAAATATGTAAAAATTCGTGCTATCATCTAAAAAAAACAAGATACTTCGAAATACATAAATGTAGTACTCATTTGACTAATCTTGAATGAATATTTTCGTCTATACATTTTTTGAGGAAAATTTAAAAAAAAAATTTCATAATATTTGTATGTTTTTTGCTCACAGAGATCTTGTTATCAGACTAATTATTTTAATAGAATAATATTTATCATATTTGCTGATTGTAATTGCAGTTTTATAACACTTCATATTAACAGTTTTATTTTATAAATTTTATTGTTTCCAATTTATTCTTATAGATATATAGCCAATAGACAACTTGATAAAATTTAAGTAAATATGAAAATGTCAAAGAAAAAAATTATTGATATATAGAAAAATTTTACTATAGGAAAATGTAAGAGAATGATTAACAGTATTTCGGAAAAGGTTAAAAGCAATTGTCTGAAAACAAGGTCAATACATCATAAAATTTGATTATTGATATTTATACAAAATGTCAATCTGATAAATTTATAAATCATTTAGATACTATTTTATTGAAAAGAAAGTTTTTTTTAAATTTTTCTCAAAAATTGTAAAATGAACACATTCACTCAACATTAGTTACAAAATTGCATACTTCAACCAATTAATTATATATGGGCGTGAGCAGCCGACATAATATCTCAATTTGCTTTCTTTCTAATATCAGTTAACAGCATAACCATAGTCGAGTCAAATTGTCGCTCTCATCGCTAACCTATACAATTAAAAATATTAACCGTTGATGGCTGTCTTATACGAAATTATTTGATTCTTAGAATTGTGTCCTATCGTTTTTAAGGAACTGAATAATTTCGTTTAAGACAGCCATCAACAACTAATAGTTTAAATTGAATAGGTTAGCGATGAGAGTGATAATTTGACCCGGATATGGATAGATTATTAACTGATGATAGAAAGAAACCAAATTGGGGTATCATACCGGCTGTTCCAGTTCATATAAGTTTGTCATAGATATCATTAATTTTCTGAGAGGAGTCGAAGTTTTTCGACTATCCTGTAGCAATGAAAATGAAATTATAACAGACTTATACTAATCATAAGAATAATGCTTTAAAATCTTGTTAGGTTATACAAGATATTTTCCTATTCTATGATGAAAAAAGAATTAGAATTGATTTTCAAGTTCTGTAAGATTCTTTTCAGATTGCAGATTTCTTGTTTCGTCCATCAAGATTCAGTCTATTCGATTCTTGTCTGATTCACAAAAACTTGTAGATCAGACAAGAATATTGATGTGTGACTAGACTGCTTGAAAAAATTATGTATCTATAAACAAAATAATTTTATGAAGCAATTAAGTTCTTTTCAAAAGAACTATTAAATAGTTCTCAAGATTGGAACTGTCATAGATTTAATTAACGCAATAAATTTTACAACAACTATTCTTGATATTCAAAAAAAAACTAAATACAAACTTTACATAATCATCTTATCGTACTTGTTAAAATAAGTTGTCCAACCTGTTAACATTCGAAATGTAAGACCAACAAAAATAACAATTCGATTAGTAATAGATAAAATGAATACATATACTTAGGATTGATTAAACGTTATGACAAAATTAAATAAAAATATAAAAATAACGTACGGTGCCTTTTATGAATTTCCAGAAAATTCGAATGACTTTCCGAGATGCTCACTTGAATTACTAGAACAACGAACTAAGCCCAACAAAACAATTGAATCATTTTGACAGAACATACAATAACTGTTTCATATTCTCTCTGAACAAAAATTCATTATCAAACTACAAACAAAATCAGAAGCTGAACGAAAACATAAACAAATAACAAAACTTTTTCCACAAATCTGAAAAATTGGATTCTGTAAGAATACTGCAGAATATTCATACTCCAAACTACACACATTTCGAGAGCATCTTGCCATTTGAGGGTTCCACGCAGTCCATTACCTCCTACAACCGATGTGACATTGTATTGATATCTTTTTTGTATTAAATAATTAATAACATCAGGACAAGTATGAAGTCGAAGATATTTTCTATTTTTTGTACTTGATGACTTTCTTTGTTTCCAAATTGCATTGACAACATGTTTGAAACAATTTTCAATATAATAGATATGATCTATAGTTTTGCCTATATCT